ACTCAACCAACCCTCACAACCACATGAGGGAGGCACCATTATGATCCTTGTTTTGTAGATGATAAAACAGAGGTCTGAGATCTCTGTATCCCTACATGCCTACATCACTTGCCTGGGGAAGGTTCCCCTCTCTGGAAAAAAAAACAAAAACCAAAAAACCAGTTCTCACCACCTACCGGAAGCGGTTTCCTAAATATGAAAGTGCAATATCATCATGTCCAGAGGAAGAACACAGCCTCCTCACCGTAGCCAGGCAAGCAGCCACAGTTTCTAGAAGGACTCAGAAGTGTGTGGGCCCCCAGCTGGCAAGCTAGTGGACGCTAATCTCCAAATTGAAAGTAGCCCACCAAGCTTGAGCGCTCCCTGCCCCCCGCCAGGGGACAGCTGTCCCCCAGTCCTCTCAGGGATGTCCTAAGGATGTCACACCAGCATCACGGGGCGCCGGTAAGCCAAGCCCGTCTTTGTGCCAGTGCACGAAGGAAGGTGGGTACATAGGCCCAGAGTCGGGGGAAAGTCTCACCTAGGATCACCCGGGGGCCAGCGTCTTTATTTCCTTTTAAAAGAAGAGCAGGAATCGGCCAAGCGGCAAAGATGGGAGATGCAGGGGACACTGTTAATGGCAGACTGAGCAACAGGTAGCATCAGCCCCTCTGTCCCTTGGGCTCCCTTGAGCCCTGTGCGACTCCACTAGGGCACTTGTCACCTGCTACAGTGATCATCCGTGCTGCCCACAGGCAGGGACCCCATCGAGGGCAGGGGATGGCTTGGATTCACGTCCTGGCAGCCTGAGACCTTGAGGAAATGCTCATTAAATGAGTGAATGAAAGAGGAAGGTGACAAGCCGCCAACTCAGATGTGGCCCCGAAACTGAGAAGGGGGGGCGGGGGCATGGAGGGATGAGGGGGACTCAGAGAGGTTCCCTCGCCGTCTGCTCCGGGGCAGGATGTGTTCGCTGCTGTATCTCCAGCGTCCAGAGCAGGGCCCGGCACACAGTAACCCTCCGTTCACATGTGCTAAATGACAAAACTCCAGGAGCTGTCACCCCTCTTGCCGCCGGCACCTAAACCACACGCCCTGGAAGGAAACGGTCCTATATTGACAATCACAGCGGGCCAGGCACGTGACAAAGGATAACCGTGCTCCCCGCCTTCTTGATTCTTACCCAGCCCCAGATAGAGACAGCAGTGAAAACGGGAACTTGCACGGAGCACGTGCTATTGTAGCAGAGGCAGCGCCTGAGAAAGGGCGAAATGTGTTACAGGCTGTCTCTTTAAAACCCCCCCACCCGTTTTGGGAATTAAAACCGGCATCCCTGCCTGAGGCCAGGAATCCGAGGGGCAGCGGAGGGTTCTTTATTATTCTGTACTCAGGAGATGGCTCAAGGCAATTGTCCCACAGAGGTCACAAGATTGTCCTCCCCGAGAATGGTCCACCGGGACCATCAACCACAGGTAAACAGCAGTCGCCTGAGAACCCCCTTTCCAAGCTCTGTGCTTCTGCTTAGAGAGAGGACACGGCACTTGACGGCACTTCAAGATGAGTCTCCATCTTCCTCATTTGCTGGCAAATTAATAAACCGCCCTTTCCTTCTCCTCAACCGCTCATCCTTATTCTTCTGATGAGGCCTCGGGGACAAGCGCGGAGCTTTCGGTAACACTATGTGTCAGGCATTGTTCTAGGCACTTCATGCGGATTCACTCATCGATTCCACACCACAGCCCTCTGAGATAGTTAATCTTTTTATCCCCACTTCACAGATGAGGAAACCGAGGTGCAGAGAAAGGAAGCCACTCGCCCCGGTTCACGTGCCACCACCAGCAAGAGGCAGAGGTGGACAACGGCACCAAGATGGCCAGTCTGGCTCCAGACCTGGGCCCCCGGGAGGTGGGATGTTATGCACTCGATTTTATGGATTGAAGAAATTGAAGCCCCGCAGCCAGGGCGCTCGGAGGGCAGAAGGATGCCCCCCGCCCCGACGTCTACGTCTTCGTCTCTGGGATCTGGGAATACGGTACCTCACATGGCAACAGGGACTTTGAAGGTGTGATTAGGTTAAGGCTCTTGCAACGGGGAGATGATCCTGGACTGTCTGAGTGGGCCCAATGTCGTCACAAGGGTCCTCATAAGTGAGAGGGAGGCAAGAGGGTCAGAGCCAGAGAAGGAGGTGAGGTGACGGAAGCAGAGGTCAAAGGTCAAGCAGTGTACTTGGAAGATGGGGGGAGGGCCCCGCGCCAAGGGACGTGGGTGGTCTCTAGAAGCTGGGAAAGGCTATGAAACATTTCCCCCAGAGCTTCCAGAAGGAACACAGCCCTGCCGGCACTTTTTGTTTTAGCCCATTAAAACCCATTTTGGACTTCTGACCTCCAGAACTGTAGGCTAATAAATGGATGTTGTCTTCAGCTGCTACATTTGTGGTACTTTGTTGCAGCAGTGACAGGAAACAAATACGGGCACCCACCTGTTCGGTGGCAGAGACAGGATTCAAAGTCAAGTCTCCCTGAGCCAGAAGCCCTGGGTCTCCTGGGACATGGCTCTTGGATGTATGATGTTTAGAATTATTCCAGGTGTTTTTTCCTCGGGGTTGCTGGGCCGTGTGTGTGAGCATGAGGCATAGCGAGGTGAGCCAAGAAACCAGGAATTCTATTTCCAGCAGGAATAGGGAAACTCGTCTGGAAAGATGGCCAGTGACCCCTCAGGGTTCTCATGAGAATGAGTTAACCCATGTGGAGCACTTAGAACAGCACCTGGCACCACAGCTGTATCATGGTTATTATCATCACATCTCTTTCCTGACTACACATCATCAGGGTCATCTCCTCTCAGTCTTTCCAGCTCAAGAACCTTCCATGGCTCCCCAGTACCCTCAGGATACCATCAAGTCCTTTATGGCATTCAAGAGCTTCGGGACCTGACTCATTTCTCCTAGTGGGTGCCACGTTCTGCCCATCAGCAGACAAAGGCACTCAACTTGCATGGGCCAGGTTTTGGGGACCACTCCAACTTTACCGAGAATGCCTTCCTGCAGCTTGCACACTCACACATCCTCCCAAGTGTGGCTCACCAGGCTCCGTGAGGTCTTCCCCACTCTCCTCATCCGCCAACCAAACACAAACCGGCCATTGCTAGTTAGCCACTTCCCCTTCTGGGGCCACCATGCCCTGGGCTTCCTCCGTTTTAGCACCTTGTATGCTAATTATTTTCCCTCCAGCCTAGGAACCAGCAGAGGGCACCGGGAGATGGCATTCTTGATGACTGCTGGGTTTCTGGCCTCAAGAAATGTTTGTAAGGCTGGGCGAGGCGGCTCATGCCTGTAATCCTAGCACTCTGGGAGGCCGAGCAAGAGTGAGACCCCATCTCTGTTAAAAATAGAGAAATTAGTTGAGCGTGGTGGTACACGACTCTAGTCCCAGCTACTTGGGAGGCTGAGGCAGGAGGATGGCTTGCGCCCAGGAGTTTGAGGTTGCTGTGAGCTAGGATGATGCCACGGCACTCTAGCCTGGGCAACAGAGCGAGACTCTGTCTCAAAAAAAAAAAAAAAAAAGAAAGAAAGAAACGTTTGCAGCGTCTGTCTCTGTTTCCCTGGCTTTCTTATCTTTACTCTCAAGCAAGGTGGAGGCCTAAAGTCCTAGTTGCTGGAAACCCCGCAGCATACGGGAACTTAGGTTCTCAAGTCCCAAAGGAAGCGGGGTCAGTGGAATATTATTCAGCCATAAAGAGAAATGAAACACTGACACATGGCACATGTGGACGAACCTCAAAAACATGACCCTAAGCCAAAGAAGTCAGACACAGAAGACCACATAGCGTGATTCCACATCCGTGAAATACCCAGAACAGGTCAATCCAAAGACACAAGAAGCAGCGTGGTGGTTGCCAGGGGCTGGGAGGAAGGGGCGAGTGGGGCTGACTGCTTCACGGGTATGGGGTCTCCTTTTGGGGTGATGGAAAAGTTCCCGCAGTAGACAGAGGTGATGGCTGCACAACACTGGGAATGTACTAAATGTCAGGGAATTGGACATTTCAGGATGGTTAATGTTAGGTTAGGGGAATTTTACCTCAACTAAAAAAGAAGGTGCGGAACTGGGGGAGGAGGCAGCTGGGAGGTTTGTGTCTAAGGGAAGAGGTTTGGGAGCCAGGACTCCCCAAGGACTCCCTGGGGAAGGAGGAGGAGGCTGGGCCCGGGCTCCTGGGTCCGCAAGGGAGGACCGGTGGAAAGAGCTGGAGGCTCAGATTGCTGGGTCCCAGGGAGGATAGGGCTGGGAGTATGGACACTGAACCCACAAAACTGGAGGAAGGAAGTTAGGGGGCCTCAAAGCTAAGGTGATGCCTGCTAGGTTCTGAGGAGACAGGACCTGTTGGTTTGGGGGTGAGGGCCCCGAGAGTGGCGAGTGGCGTCACGCCCAAGGCCCTGTGCGGTTCCAGCGCTGCAGCTGGACTTTGCCTCCGCACTGCCAGAGCCGGACCCTGCACCCCAGGCCTTCCCTGAAATGCCCAGGCTGAGAGCGAGCGCGGGGAGCTGGGAGAGGTGAGCAGGAGGCCGGGCTGGAGGGAGGGCCTGGGAGGCCAGGGAGAAACTGCCAAACGGGGAGAAGCCCAGATTACCTTTGAAAGCTGTGGGGAGACAGGCACAGCGCCTGGAGTGGAGGACCGCACCCCCACTGGCCAGCGCTCCTGCCTGGGAGCCAGCGGGGCCTAGAGGAGGGGTCACACTCCCTGCACCTGGGTCTTTGGCTGTGAGGGAGAGGGGACGGGGAGCGATGGGGGCAGGGGTGCCCAGCCCCTCTCCTTCCCAGCAGAGGCCAGCATGTGGGGCCGCCAGTCTCTGCTGCCTGCCTTCCCCACCCTCTGGGCTTTCCAGGTCTGGATCTCCTGAGTGTCAGTGGCAGGACGAGGACCCTGGGTCTGAGGGAGGAGGAGCCCGGGGCACCCCCGGGTCTGAGGGAGGAGGGGCCGGGACTCCTGATCTGAGGGGGAAGGGGCTGGGGGTCGGACCCTTGAGTCCTGGGAAGAAGGAAGAGGCCACGACCCAAACCCCTGAGTCCCAGGAGGGAGGGGAGGAGGTCAGAGGTGGAGGGTTGCCGTGTGGGAGAGAGAAGGAAAATGGCCCGGGCAGAGGAAGTAGCCGCTGTCTTGGGGGAGGATTTTCGGTGGAGATGTCATCACCAAGACCTCCTTCCCATCCGGGGCCTGCCTGCCAGGGGAACTCCGGTGTGGTGGACAGGAGGGAGAAGGGAAGGCCGCGGAGGGGAGGAGGCAGGGTCACCAGGGCTCCTGCGGCATAAACTGCAACCAGACGGCAGGGGGACCTGAGGGTTGGATTCTTGGGTCCCTGTGTAGGTAACAGCTGGGAGGCTACACCCCAGGGGCTAGAACTGAAGACATGTGTTCTAGAAGAGACTGGGCCGGGGCTCCTGGGTCCCCAAGGGAGGAGGAATGGAGAGAGCTGGAGGCTCTGATTTCTGGGTCCCCAGGAGGATAAAGCTGAGAGTTTGGACATTGAACCCACAAAGCTGGAGGAAGGAAGTTAGGGGCCCCCAAAACTAAGGTGCTGTCTGTTAGGTTCTACGAAGACAGGACCTGGCGGTTTGAGGGCCAGGGACAGTGGCGGTCAGACCCAAGGCCCTGCGCGGTTCCACCGCTCCAGCCTGGACTTTGCCTCTGCGCTGCCTGAGCCCCACCCTGCATCCCAGGCCTTCCCTCAAACGCCCAGGACCACAGCCCAGGGAGCTGGGAGAGGTGAGTGTCCTGCCCTGAGGCTGGGCTGGAGGGAGCGCCTGGGAGGACAGGGAGAAACTACCAGGAAAAACTGAGATTAGGACTGAAAATTGGGAAAGATGGGGACAGTGCCTCCAGGGACTAGCTCAGACCCCCGCCCCACCTGCGTCTGCCCGAGAGCCAATGGGGGCCTAGAGGCAGGGGCCACAATCACCTGGGCCCTCCCTTAGGCCTGGAGCTTTGGGTGTGAGGGAGAGAGGGAGAATGAGAGGGAGAGAGAGAAAGAGAGAGAAATAGAGAGAGGGAGAGAGAGAAACAGAGTGGGACAAAGAGGGAGGGATTCCCAGCCCTTCTCCTTCCCCTGCAGAGCCCACCATGTTGGGCTACCTGACCCTGCTGCCTGTCTTCCTGGCCCTCTGGGCTACCACTGGTATCTGGATTGTGTGAGTGTCAGAGGCAGGATGGACCCCTGGGTCTGAGGGAGGAGGGGCTGGGGGGGACCCTGGGTCTGAGGGAGGAGGGGCTGGGGGGACCCCTGGGTCTGAGGGAGGAGGGGCTGGGGGGACCCTGGGTCTGAGGGAGGAGGGGCTGGGGGGACCCCTGGGTCTGAGGGAGGAGGGGCTGGGGGGACCCTGGGTCTGAGGGAGGAGGGGCTGGGGGGACCCCTGGGTCTGAGGGAGGAGGTAGCTAGATTCCAGGAACGTTTGGTTAACAAAGGGAAGAGTTCAAAGTCCCCCACTCACTCTGCTCTGCCCCCACCTCAGCTTTGCCATTGCAGTGGTCAACGGGACTGTGAACCTCAGCGAAGGCTTTCCCTACATCAGGTAGTTACGGTGTGACGGGGTGCTGATGGAGGAGAGCAGAGGGCCTTGGCTTGGAGGAGCCTCAGGATGACCCCTTTATCTCCCCAGTATCTGTGGATCTTACCCCCCTCAGAGCTGCATCTTCGGCCAGTTGCTCAACATGGGAGCTGCTATGGGTAAGCTTTCTCCAGTCCCTCTGGCACAGGTTTCCCATCCCAGCCAGCTCCCAGCCCTCCTCCCCCAGCCCCAGGGGTCTGGCCCCCAGCCCTCCTCCCTCAGCCCCAGGGGTCCCCTCAACCCCTCCTCCCTCAGACCCAGGGGCCCAGGGCCCCACCCCCCTCCTCCCTCTGACACAGGGGTCCGGGCCCCCAGCCTCTCCTCTTCCAGCCTCAGGGGTCCAGGCCCCCAATCCCTTCCTCCCTCTGTCACTGGGGTCCGGGCCCCCCGACCCCTCCTCTCTCAGGCCCAGGGGCCAGGCCCCCAGCCCTCCTCCACCCAAATCCAGGAGTTTGGTCCCCCCTCCCCTGGAGCCTGGCCCGGGTCGGGAGTGTCTCCCGCCCACTTCCTCTTCCCTGTTCTCCCAGCCGCCTGGATCTGCATTCTCCGTTACCACCAGCTCCGGGACTGGGGGGTCGGAAAGTGGTGTAACCAGCTGATCCTGTGGACGGGTCTCTTCTCTGCCCTGGGCACCTCCATGGTGGGCAATTTCCAGGTAAGACGCAGTTGGCTCCGGGAGTCGGGGACTACACCTCCCAGCATGCCCCGCGGCCGCAGGCCGTCCCCCTCCCTCCTCTCCTCCCCACACCCCTCCCCTCCCCTCCCTGCGCCTCTCCCCCAGTCCCCTTTGTCCTGCCGCCCCCAGGACCGGCATTTCTCTTGCGGGTGGTGTGCGAAGCCTTTTGTGGAGGAGGAGGAGGAGGAGGGGATTGGACCGGGAGGAGGTTGGGATAATTTTCTGCCAACTCCTCCCCGAAACTCATTTAATGATGAAATTCCTGAGATCTGAGATTTACTCATTCTCGGCGTTTGGCATGTTGAGCATCCACACGAGGCTGTGCACTTTGTACGTGAATTCTTTCCATCTCCACCGGGATTCTGCCTAGGTCCCTCCTGAGCGTATCTCACGGTTACTTCTATGCGCGTGTCAGTGGTGATCAGAAATGAAGATCTTCACAGACTCTGGAACCCAAATTCTTAACCATGAAGCTCTGTAGATATTTGTAGAATAAATGGATCGACACATGATAGGAGAAACCTTTTTGGTTTATT